CCACGACTGAAAGGGCGATCATGTTTAGCGTGACGGGGATTCGAGTTGATCGCCATAACCACCTGGCTATGAACGTCATTATTACTAAAATTATTCATTTGATATAATGATATTTTTCAAGGTCCTGTAAAAGTAATTCCTTGCAGTTGAAGATATTACAAACTTCCAACATACAAGTTTCATAAAGAATTAGTAAGTTCTGCGAAGATGTCTACACAAAGACTATCTAACACGTTTAGCTATTTCTTCCTCATGGTTGCGTGTAACAACAGTAAGACAATGGCTATTGTCTAGAGAAATAGATAAGTTTGATAATTCAGAACTGATAACCGATACTGCTGTTCAGATTATGTGACGATACTCGAGCAATTTTTTTAAAGTATGCAAACAGTAAGAACAAACATTACATCCACAAGCATAAATTTGCCCGCGGTGGCTCAGCAGCACGGCTGAAGGCTTATAACGCCAAAAATTGGGTTTCGATACCCACGGTGGGCAGAGCACAAGTAGCTTTGCGGTTAACAACAAACAATAACAAGCAATACTTACCTGAAATGAAGGATAACTGCAATTATCCAATGAGGAGGGTGTCTAAAATAATGTAACAAATTTATTTACCGTTATATCTGAATGTATTCTGTCGGTCCCGTGTCGCACTGCCATGATATCCTATGCATGCTGGAATGAACACTATAGGTCTAACGGCATTCTATTAATAATTGTAGCAAATGAAACGCAAATAATTTTGCTAACTTAAATTCTGGATACACTGTATATGGCGAAATTCTGTATGCAATGATAATAAATGTAGTACTGGAAGAAATGTCGAAAATATAAAAATAGAGAACAGATCCCTGTCGAAAAATAAAAGTAACGTCACGCAATGAATAAGTATACATATATAAATGTGAGTCTCTCCTATAACACTTTTTACACTGAAGACATAAAATATTGCTTGTTTGTTTGTATCTACGCTGTTCTCATCACGGGTATCGAAATCCGGATTATAGCGTTATAAATCTGCAAACTTGCCGCTGTGACAATGGTGAGCATGAAATATGGATACCAGTTTAGAACTTAATCTTCACTGTATAAATCTGTAACAGTTGCTGAAGGATTCAGAATAAGAATTCATGGAAAGAAAGTCTGTCTTACAGATACTACATTTAGTAAAAGCCCTACAGGTGGCAGTGCAGTTTTCACACCTTTTAATTACTAACATTAAATAATAGAATTGTTGTTTTAACGAAAAGCTACACAATGTACTATCTGGGCTATGTCCATCGCAGGGAACGAAACTCCGGATTTTAGCGTCATAAATCCATAAACTTAATGCTGACTCACCGGTGGATTAAGTAATAGAGACGAAGCATAAACGAAAACCCGTATAAACAGTAATAATGACACTGAAGCTGCCACTACTTTTTGTACACTGTATAATCTATGTAATTGCCTAGCACTCTTTTTCTCAACAGTACGTATACATTGCACCATAATATAAGCAAAGGTCTTTAAAGAAGTGTACCGAAGTTCCAGTTATAGTGTTTATGTACACTCTGCTAAGCCAACGCATCTGTCTATGTTATCGATCTCAAAACTGCTTTCTCTATCGTGTGGTTCATTTTTTTCTTCTATTCAACGAATTTCGTGTTTATTTCTTCTAGGGTATTAAAATTAATGTTTTTATTTAATGCGTGTTGTCCTTATCATGATGAGAAATAAGATTTCATTCCATCGTTATATAAAAGTAAAGTATACTTTAAACGCTTGTTTGAATTTAAGCACAAAGCTACATAATGGGCTATCTGTGATCTGTCCACCACGGGTATCGAAACTCGGTTTCTAGCATTGTAAGTCCGCAGGCATACCGCTGTGCCACTGGGGGGAGGGACACTTTAAACTCAAAAATAACAAATGTCTTTCATATTACGTCATTCGGTGACTAAGGGGTTAGTTTGAGGGCTTACAAAGTTAAAAATAGGGGTTCGATACCCCCCGGTGATCAGAACACAGATAATCCATTGTGTAGCTTTGTGATTATCAACAAACAAACGTTGGTATTAACAGATGTAGCGCAAGAAGAACGAAAAAACTGTGGTGATAAAAATCGGAAATGCGATCACTTTGCACGATTCTCTGGTTTTGTTAGATTGGGATTATATATTATTACTAACATTACTACATCTGGTGTTCTATGAAAATTTTTAAAACAAAATCCATGCTTAATTCAAGTATACCGGGCAAGCCTGTAAAATAATGATATTTTATCAGTTAAGAAGCTGTATACTTTCCTGATGAACAGCTTGTCAACACATCTTTCAGTAGATTAATACCTTATTTATGTAACTAAATTACAATTCACGCAGTATTATATGCCAGTGTCTTATAAAGATTCTAAAGTACTTGTTTTTCAAACTTGAATATTACAGAAACTAATCATAAAATCAGCAGGTATAGAACCTGAAACCCGCGAGGCCTGGTGTGCTTCGGATGTGGTAAATAATTATATATATGTATACAATCCGCACAATAAGAGTACGTAAGAATTATTAGCGTTGCATTTTTAACTGGTTTTCAAATTACTTTGAGAACACATAAAAATATTGTAATTTACAATCACAAGTCAAAGCGAAATGTAATCAACATCTTATGACAAACCGTCGTTAAAATAACGATTCTTTTCTGTAAAGAAACAATAATAGGTTGTTCCTCAATCTAGTTTAGTGAACAATATCCAAAACGTATGAAATAACAATGGTTCATTGGTGTTCTGAAAGTTTTTGTATTGTTATCCTTAACAAATTAACGGGGGCATTGTTTTATAAATTAATAATGCTTCTTTCAATTTCTGTTGAATTGGGAATATTATTGAGCTACTTTCTGTAGCCATCCTTCGGTGTTGATGGAAATGTTCAACAGGCGAATCATGGTGCTTAGCTGGTGTCGCATCAATCAGTGCAGCAGGCATAGAAGACGAACAGATTGGAGGAATGTTTGGCGGCTTCTAAAACGAACAAATGACCAGACGGCGTTTCTTACCAAAATGAAGTTAATTACAGACTCGCCGTCAAAGGCAAGAAAGGAAAGCTAGTGACTTCAGTTAACGTGAAGCTGTGAAGCGAATGGTTTAAAAAGGTCACAGCTGTAGTTTATAAACTTGCTTTTCTCTTTTCCTTATCAAGTTTAGACTTCACATGTAAACAAAACATACAAGTCTTTAAAATGCCAAGTAAATATCTATTAAACATCTCTGTACACTTCATAAATTTGAAGTTTCAAGTGTTATTTGCTTTCTTTTTTTATATATAATGTTATTTAAACTAAGATTTAGTTTTTATACATACACGAATCATAGCACTAGTATCTTAGCTCACGCCTTCAGTGGAGACTGAAAAGACCATTGAATTTACGCACTTTCAGTTTTCAACATAACGTTAATCTGTCTTGTAATTATACTGATTTGAGTGATAAGAAAAACATATGATTTACATAATGGCTGGAGATGGCTTGAATGGGTAATGAAGTTTTTCTTCATTACCCATTCAAGCTATCTCCAGCCATTATTAGTCTCAAAGTGGGTTCCTCGTCATCGAATATGATTTACATAACCGTGACTCTGACCTCTTGACCTAAATAGTAAGTTAACAGTATGACTTATCAAGAATATCCTAAGATCCTAATTAATGTTAGAGAATCATACAAATCAACAAGTTCGTAAAAGGGCAACGCTGAACATTTTATTCGTGGTTCTATTAGCATCATAAGATTCAAACTATATAATGATTTAACCAACACAATAAATATTTCTAGACAAGCTGGAATACTCGTCCCCTGGACGGAAGTTATGGAAATTTGTAATTAATGAAAGGTTACCACAGTACTGTTTGTTTGTTTGAAGTTAAGCACAAAGCTACACAATGGGTTATCTGGGCTCTGCCCACCACATGTATCGAAACCCGGTTTCTAGATTTGTGAGTCCGCAAACATACCGCTGTGCCAATGGGGGGCGTTACCATAGGACAAGAAGAATTCCTTCCCTTATATGTAAGTGTAAAAAACGCAAAAACGCCCATATAAACTGCAAAACATAATATGTGAAACCGCTAGTTTGCTTGTAACCTCCATACCAAATTTGGTGAAGATCCATCTACAGGAGGCGAATTAGTGGTGCAAACCACAAAACTGTAAATATGTATGTACCCCTGCATGGACCTAATGAACCGCCATACCAGCTTTGGTAAAGATCCATCTAAACCCTGCGAAGTAGTTACGTGGAGATACAACAGACAGTACTATTATATTTATATAGATATCTAAATACAATGGCGTTTTAGGTTAAATGCAAAAATATAAAAAGTCAACAATGAACATATACCCGGAAGTTACTAAAAAGTAGTCGTAAAGCTACATGTTGTTAGGTATTCCACCGTACAAACGGTATTCCAAGATTGGTCCAGTTTATACTAAGAATAATATCTTTCAGTGAGAATATATGCGTAAAATTTTTTTCGTATTGTAAATTGTTTGTGAACCCGAAGTTCCTTTAGCATTTATGTATATTTTAATGAACAATATACATTATCGCTCTGACGACACTACTGTTTTAATAATTCTATAGATTTATCAACGAATTCGATAAATATTTTTAGTTTTAGTCTGTTAATAAGCTAAAGCAAAGTAAAGACATAACAGTTTCAACCAGTTCCAGGTGCTAAAACTGAAGATTAAAAAGAACACAGAGAATCATTAATCCTTAGTTTGCATAATTCATTCATTATTTTTAAGCTATCTAAACAAAACTTCCTCTTATGGAACTATAAAACCCAAACAAAACTTTCATTATATATATCATTTTATCCTTAGTTGCAAAATAACTTTTTACTAAATGAAGGAGTATGGGAAACGTGTATTATGTGTAGACACGTTTACCGTACACCTCTGTCTGATGGTATTGTTATCTACTGTTTAACATCGAATGAAGTAGAAATGTTGTTACTCACCCGTACAGCAGAGCAGCCCCAGCGATTGAGCCTCCACACTGAGCTATTACATACAAACTAGCCCTGAGAGGGGATATTCTTCTGGTCACAAACATTGTAAAGGTCACGGCGGGGTTAACATGAGCACCAGAGATATGATTAAAGCACTGAGCCAAAGTGGCCATTGTTAAACCACTGGTCAAGGCCTTGATCATTAAGTTACTGGGGTCATGATTGGGCCAGGAGACATGAGCCCCACAGAGAAGAAAGACGTAGAAGAAACTTGCTAAGCACTCTGCAATAATCGACCTCCAGAACTCTAGCGTCCTTATCTCCTCACGAATACTTCTGTTCTTGTTCACCTGCACCTGAAGTTTTTCCACCCTATCAATCAGGTGTAAAAAAAACGTTTCGAAGGATATGGTGGCCATAGCACACTTTTCAGATCGGTTAACTCTACTAGTAACTTAAAAGATAGAGTTTGATGTCAGGCTGTAGAGACCACACCACAATTAATTATTTCAGAAAAAGCCACAGTGTCAACCTTTCAGAACATCATGTGCGAAGTTTAACACCTTTTTTTCCAATTGAAACCTACATTTTAGTATTGTAATCAAGAAAGTTAATATTAAAATTAGTTGTTTATTATTGTAGCAGCGTGAGCAGTAGATGTAAAGTTAATGCTAAGGGTAAGCATGTCCACAAAAGTTTCTATGCGATAAAAGTGATCATTGCATCACGCGCAAGTTAGAAGGCCACAGCGCAAGACCATTCAGCCAGACCAGATCGAGTACTTGTTCTTAGAAAACCGTCGATTTGATACACTTAACGGAACAGTCATACAAACACTACAGAATGACTACATAACCACTTAGTGTCAGATGTGGGCTATGTTATAATCAAAACATTCTCAACTTTTAATAACGCGCCACGATTGTTAAACCTTTTATGCGGTTAACAAAACCAAAACTAGAGAAAAGAGAGCGTCAAAAACTTAAATCTTCTCTTCGATCCTAGCGTTCAAATGTCGTCTGCTCGCTGTTGCTGCGTGCCAGCAACAACTGTTTGGCTGGCACAAGGAAGCGGCACGAGCTCAGAGTCAGAGGTATGTGAATCACAGTAGACGAAAGACGACTTGATAGCCAGACTTAAAACGTGTCTCAATAAATAAATGTGTTCACACAGAAAGTTGTGTCATATGAAAATATTGTACGAACATCTCTTTCCAGTACGAATTAGAGTAACAAAATAATAACTAAATTTCGAATAAACCAAGCACGGTATACGTGCAAACGTTCATTTATTCTCATTACCTCTTCGTGCGTTGTATAAGTTTAGATCTCCTCACAATGTCTCGGTATTGTCTACTTGTTTAATTAAGTACTCAATGACGCCATTTCTGATTACAAATCAAGAAAGCGCATCATTAACTAAAATCACTCTGAGTATATAACACCTCTGATTGTTGATCCGTTTTTTCAACATTCTAACTGTAAGCTTTTTTCTGTGTAGATATAGACGTGGATAGGTTTCTTGTAACTCCTAATAAGTTCAACCGGGTAATTATATTTTTATTAATTCTTGTTGAAAAAAATCCCACTTTACAAGCGGATTAGTATTCGATTTGTCAGTGTACTTCTCTTACAAGGGCAGCTTTTTCAAATACTAGAATTCCACTTTTTTTCCCCAAACTTCAAGATGAATGCTCATTATGTAAAACTTGTCGAGAAAAGCATTAGAGCATTCGCGCTTTGAGAAAAACACGTCCATCTTTTCAGCACACAACTATCACTTCTCAACATTTGTATCCTGATCCAAATTTGGCTTCGTACTTCGAGATGAAACCAGTAGTTGTGATACTTTACCGTACAATTTTTCGCTTTTACTACAACTTGCTTGGTCCACCGGTGAGTCAGCAGTTATTTTATCAACGCTAAAATCTGGGTTTGATTACCCGAGTTTAAGTTTGTAATAACGAACAGTGTGTTAAAGTTAAAAATTGCTACAGCGGCCATAAACGTGGATGTTTGTTCTCATAATACCAATTTACGGCTTCTTTTAGAGCAAAACACATTTGGTCTATCTTCTGTGTCCACCGCGGGGAATCGAAACCCGAATTGTAGCGTTGTAAGTTTGTAAACTCACCACTGTCCCACCGGGGGACCCAGTTTATAGAAAAGCTGAACTATAATCAAGTAAATAAACGTTAGTAAACATTTCTAATTAAATCAATAAATACGTAGAAAGTGCTTCCTATTGGCAAGAAATATTTAGAAATCATTTACTATGTTTAATTCACGTATCTGATTTCCGCAGAAGATTTCAGTAGAAAAATAAAATGTATGTCTTAGCACTCTCGGTTTATAAGTGCATTGAAAATTACAGTAATACAGTGCCATCTATAGGCATTATATTTTCCGAAACGACTTTTTTTTTTTAATAAGATTTCGTTTCTAGCTATTATATTTTCGTTTAATTATTGTTTCAGTTATTTTTTTTGAAAAACTAATAAGGAATAAAGAAAACGGAGTTTTAAAACTTCCTCAAATCCACTAATCTTTCATGTAATATGTTCGTCTTGGAAATATTTGTGTGTTTAGAAATGTTGCGCAAAGTTACATAAAGACTTCTTGGAGTGCAATAATGTTATTATACGCCTCTTCCTCGTCTTCGGTGTTTTAATCCTAGGATGCATAGGTAATTCTACTTTAATGAGATGCTAAACGCACAGCGTTTAATTTTCCTGAATTGAGCATGACCGGTTATTGTTTAGAGATAGTTAATTGAGGCTAACTCGGAACATGAACCAGGTAAATAAGGAAATAGAAAATTGGCAAGAAAAACAAAAAACTGGTAGATGGGTCCAAGAGAACGCTTTATGCACTTGAGCGCTTAGTACCTCCAGTGGAATCGTGGTGAAATGCCATGTGATCATTAGCTTTTTTCTCATTGTTTTCAATTTATAGAATTGTTTTAGTTATGAAAAAACTGATAAAATCTCTTCTTCTCTTTCAATGGATGAATATTTAAGAATGTTTAACAATCGGAAAATCAACACTTTTTGCTATTATCAATATTTCAGCAGCCTTAGCCATTGAGATAGAAGGTCTTGAGTGTTGTTTCAAGAATAAGTCTGCTTTTTAAGATGGTTTTTGCCCATGTACTCTGTTAGAATTTTTGTGAAATTCTTGGGCAAACCCTATTGTGAACCACTTTCGTCGTTTTTTCATTATAAAACTATTTGGCGAGTTCACAAAGGTTTAATTTTTTAGTTTTTCCACTTTAAAAGTAATGATTTGTTTGAATTTATGCACAAAGCTACACAATGGGCTATCTGTGCTCTGCCCACCACGGGTATCGAAACCTGGTTTCTAGCGTTGCAAGTCCGCAGACATACAGCCGTGAACACAAAAAAAGATTTTAGATATGAAAAGACAGACATTGCCATTTTTTTTTCATATGAGAGATTCCGGCCTCAAATCGATTGGATATCAATGAAAATTTGATACAAAACGGATAATTACGTAAAAGAGAAGAATCTTTGAAAGTTGCTTAATCGTAAGTCTACCTATTTTCAACACCTCCAACGGTCACTTTAAGCTAAACAGTTTCCGGAATTCCTGTGTTCTTAAGGGAATCAAAGATTCGAGATCGTTTAAGCTTTGTTGAGAAGTTTTCTTGCCAGAAGATAACACGAGGTTGAAAAGGATGCGCGAATGTGTTGAACCTAGTTTATCTGTTCTCAACACTTCTGACAGTTTGTTCCATTTACTGTGGTTTTTCGCTAATCATGTTAACATTTAAATAATATGACAATTCTACGTACATTATTATGTCAATTCGTAATGATACAGCAGCTATTAGATCAGAACAGTAGCATGCTACATGCATATATTGTAGGATTTATTGGAGAGAGCGGGCTGTGCCCATAATATAAATATTCCTAGGGCAAATTACCCCTTACCTCCGCTAACTTGGCGCTTATGTTACGTTTTTAAATTGGAGAGGGGCGTGTATGAACATTCGCGTACCTATCCTTCGTATATAACGAATACTCGAATACTCGCATATTTTTCATAAATATACTCCAGCTCTATTTCACTTTCCAGATGAAATCATATTAAACATTTTAAAATTAAATAACCTCAAATATCTCGCCATTTAACCGTGCACACAACATAACAAATAAATCACGAGGCTACACATTATTACAAAAATTGCTAACTTTTTTCTTTTTGCCCTTAGTGGCACAGCGGTATATCTGTGGACTTACAACGCTAGAAACCGGGTTTCGATACCCGTGGTGGGCAGATCACAGATAGCCCAATGTGTAGCTTTGTGCTTACTTAGAAACAAACAAACAAACAAATCTTTCTTCTTCATATTATCAACTAACGAAAGTACCCGGCTTTGCTCGGGTTATTAGGTTGATATATTCTGGATGACTATGTCAGTGTGTGTATTCTGAACCTATTTTAGCATCCTACAGGTGGGCATAGTTTTCAACATTTAGCTTCTTTCGGTTTATGCAAATGAATAGCAGCCTTTCTGTTTCAATTTTGGCATACATTACGATTTTAGTGACGGGGTGAAAGGGAGTCGTGACACCTTGTAAGTGTAGTGAATGTTGATATGAGTTAAAGAAATTAATATATAAGCCTAAGTAAAAACATAGTGTTAGATAACCTAGCCTAGAGCCAAGTGTATAAAATTTTTCATGAAAGTAAAAATATTGATCCAATTTTAAACTTAAATCGTTTCTGAATTAAGGTATTTTCTGTTATATCACCAACGTTTTAAATAAAAAAACAAACCTCTTTAATCAATGGAGATTCTAAATTAAGAAATCAACAAATATTTTTCCAGTTTTATTGTTTATACATTTCATTTTATACTTTCAGTACGTAGAATAATAAAAATGTTAGGTTACACTTTCGTTGCTAAGCAACATGACATAAAAGCCATTGCTGGAACGCATTGTTACCAGAACGAACTGGTTTTTCTATATATATATTAGAAATTGTTAATCTAACTGATATACTACAGGGTATACTATGAGGTGGTTGTACTTGCCTCGTCATTTTTGACGGGCTTATATGCCTATAATAAAAGTGTGTGTCAGTCTGAATGTCTGTGATTTCTATTTGTAATATAAGGAACCACTTCTTTTCCATTTTTGTTTTTTGCTAGTTTGCCTCATTAAAAAGGTGCACACGTGCACGCATATGGATAAGTAATAATACCCAGGTGCACATCCTCGAGGTCCACTTAGTACGAGTGCAAAATTTCAGGTTTCTTGATTCTTTCCTCTTGGAGCTATGGCGGTCACACACACGCCCTTTTATTATTACAGATATATTCTTAAATTCTTCTGAAAATTATGTAAAGCCATCTAATGTTCTTCTGCATTAGGGAGCTTAACTTGCAATCTGCGGGTCGCGGGTCCAAATCGTTGTCCCACCAAACATGCTCGCCCTTTCGGCTGTGTGGGCATTATAATGTGATGGTCAATCCCACAATTTGTTTGGTAAAAGATTGGCCCAAGAGTTGATGGTGGATGGTGATGACTAGTTGCCTTCCCTCTAGTCTTACACTGCTAAATTAGGGACATCTAGCTCAAAATTTAAAACAAACCAAAGCCTCTGTTAATGATTTCTAACTGAAGAGGGTAACAGAGCATCACTAGTAGACTGATAGTGAACTTATTACTTGTGAGTAGGCAGAGTGATTAGCACCCAACATCCTATGAGAAGCTGCTATGATGTTATCAATGGCCTTCAGTTGTAACTGAAATATTTTTGAGCCAAACGGTAAATGGCCAAGAAAACAACAACTTTGCATAAATAAATATTCCCCGTAAATGTTATATGATAATTTGTAAAAGCAATTGGAATCAATTAAATTCGGGGCAGGAATTCAGGTTTAAAAATCCTTCAAGCCTCAAAAAATATTTTGGGTCCTGAAAGACAACCCAGGATGGTCAGAAACTTTTGCTTCTCTTCACCCAAAAGTGATTGCACTGTAACTCCTTACATTTAAATAGCGTTATAGCAATTAAAATATGACTTTTCTGTACCTTTTTTGAAATAATGATAGGTTGTTCCAGTTGAAAATCCTTAGAATATCTGTGGTATTCTCAGATGCAATGACTTCCCTTTAGGTAATAAGTTAGGTTACACAGAATAACAGGATGTTTGATCAAGAAATAAATCCCATAGTAAATATACTTCCCCTGACTTCTACTAACTTGTGAAAAAGAATAAATACAGTGTGCAATAATGTAAGATAATATCTTTTTTACACAAACAATCAAGGACAAGATGAGTATGTATTTGTGTGCCTTTACTTGAGGGAGCTATCAGAAATGCCAACTGAAAGTTGGTAAAAAACCTGTTATGAATCTGTTTCAGACTGTCAAAACATAGACTTATATACTTGAAACAATAACGCTATTCTTCTTGGAGCACTTGTGCTACACACTTGACTGTTAGTCATTTCCATCAAAAAATAATGGAGGTTGTTTCCTCAAGGTATCACCAGACCTGCCAGTGGAAAAAGATAACTGTGCACTTCTATGTAGCATGTTCCCAATTTATAGTAATCTTTCTCACAAGAAAGCACATATGATAACCTAAGCACTTCACCCAGATCAATACGTAGCTAGGGCAAAAGGAACTTAGTTCTTTCCTTGACCAACACTGTATAGTTAAAACTATATACACCTATATACATTAAAAGTTTTGAAAAATATTATGTTAAATGAAGAGTTAGAAAACATGTAGTATGCCTACGTATCACATCTTTCCTCTTCCCCTTTATTTTTAGGTTGTCCTGACATATTTATCTTTAAAACTTAAAATCAATTAAAACATTTTGAATATCAGCCAAGACAGAGGATCAACTTATTCTCAACCCTGTAAAACTTTTACTTCACTACAAAAAAATAGAATAGACAAAACAACCCTTTAATATTGATATCAATTGCAACAATAAACATGAAAATTACAACATAATACAATACTAAAAATCTCAAACTATAATACAATACGATAAGATACAGTAGAATGTCCTTATAATGATTAACAACTAGATTTAAAATAAGATAAGATACAATCTTCTTTAGAAAAGATGAAATAATAATAAAATATTATACTAACAAAAATAAACTCCATCAACATCACACCATATAACTATTTACAGAATAACAAGAAACATAAGTCATTTATCATAAAATTGAAACAAATAAAACAAATGAAAGAAATGTTCTTTTAAAATAATACAATTTCAAAACATCATATGGTATATTCAAGCAAAAACTGAAGATTCAGTCAAGATAGTGACTATAAAGTGATGTTATATCTCTGATTAATAGAGATGTGAAAATGGATGAAATAAACTGGACAAAAAGTTTAACTCAAAATAAACAAGCTTAATCATATCATACAAAAACTATAAACATAGTATCTACTTGCTTTATTTACACTGACAATCGCTTTTATTGAATTTTCTTTCTTCAACTGGTCTGACTGAGTCCACCTACCAGACTGATTAAATCTAATGATCTTTACTTTGCAAGAAACATTACTTTTACCCAGAGCAACTACTGCTACCCACATAACTGGTTATTCTCATTCAAACATAAATGAGGCCTAAACCTCGAGATATTACCTGAACTATCACTGAAGGACATTGTTGTCCACATCCTTGCACAATGTGAAGTGTTGTATCTACACCTTTCATGGGCAGAACAGGATTATCTCCTTGAGAATAACAAAGGAATGAAACCAACTGAATGACTTTGTCGATCACATGTGAAACCTGCACACACAGAAAATAAATGATAAATTCAGAATAAATACTGTAATATAACACAAAGAATGAAGCACAGGATATATTCATATCCCAAACTTTCCTCTCTTCCATACTTCAGGCTTGTCCTTACGTCAACAAGTAATCTTAACTTGATAACCAATAAATATTAAACTTGTGCGCTCATCAAGGAGAGCTCTTTCTACTACCCTTGAAACACTTATATGTCATGCAGATGTCACAATTCTTTAATGAAGACAATAAAGAAAAAATAAAGAAATACATTACATAATTTTAACTTATAAAAATACATTCCATGAATACAAAAAACTTTAACCCAAATGCAATTTCACACTAACAGAAAACCTTTAGCAATGAAAATTTATTCATGAAATCCTTTAGGAATGAAGTACATTATAAACAAAACCTTAAATATAATGGGATTAAACACATAATACAGATCTCCTTCTTATTAACACAGGTGAAATTAATTATTTTACAAAACAAAAAGTAAAATCTTTAACTCTGAAAAATACAAAACACAAAATCTTAGTGAAACACCCTTTAACAATGATAATCACAGTTACAATGGTTAGACAGAGGAGCATGATTTAAAATAAAATATTCTATCAAAGTCATTTGCAAAACATAAAAATGAACAAAGATAGTAATAAATTATTTAATAATAATTAATCTACATAACTCCAATACAAAAACAAGAAGAAACCTTTATAGTAAAATTCAAAAGACTAGATTTATTTTATGTAACTTAAAAGTCATTGATGGTAAAGAGAAATTTATTTTATATACACTTGCATACACAATACTGCAAACCAATAACCACCGAGTTATCAGTAAAGAAGCATTTTATGTGGCTTCACTTATACTCACAACTTTTCAACTCATCTGATTGGTAAAGTATGCATTTTTTATTGTTTTACAAGATGACTAGTAATGAATAACAATAATACATAAAAAAAGAAAGTAGCACACAATGTGTAGTCACTCAGGTAGCACTAACTACCATTTGCAAGGTGGGCAGGTTTGCTTCATAGAAGTCATCATATTGAAACTTCAGAGGCTGAAGGTTCAGCTGAAACTGCTATCTTGATGTTTCACTGGATCACAAGGAGAAGCTACTGGTAACCTTTGGGACAGACTGTATGTTGGAGGCAACTACCAGAAGAAGATCCCTTTTTTCTGGCTTCTTCCCATTGATAATTAACCCGGATTTTTACCTTATGTTTTACCTTATTGTTTGTAATAACTGATAAAATAATTTTTAATTCATTTTGATTTTATGACATGTCTCTCTTATCGGCCTACGCACCATTTTCATTTGGAATGAGCGACTGAGTTAAGTTTTGAACTAGGTATAGTGCGTGTAAAAATAAATAAAAATACAACTAATTTATAACTAGCTGATAGCAAAATAACACTAAATGGTATAAAGTTACAATATATTGTTAGGACAATAACGAAAACATGTTGGTTGTTTATATTATGTACTAGTATTATAATTCATTCTGCCTAATGGTTGTCTTTATAATTCTATGTTAGACATAGGGCGCCGGAAAATACTCAGTTTTTGGCCATTCAGACCCCCCACACACTATAGCTTGGACCATTTTATATTTAGAAAGAAAAAAATATATTTAACATTAGAAAACTATATGTAGCTTTCTTTGTTTGTAGTTAAGCCCAAAGCTCGAGAATAGCTTATCTGGGCTGTTCATAACACGGGTATCGAAACCCGGATTTTAGCGTTTTTACTCTTCAGACTTACAGGCGTCTTGTAGCTTTCATTATTGTACCAAGTAATATTAACATAAACCACGGTACAATTCAATCATAATATAACAACTGTCTATAGAATTATGCATATTTAATATTCTGTATTATACTAGATATCAATGAAACAAAATAAAATTATGTTGATATTAAAGCATGAAATACTTAGTGAGCATTTATTGAAGTCCACCAAATTTGAACAACAATTAATGGTTCATTATACTTATAAAATTAAATATAGGCCTTTGTAGAGCTCAAAATTCAGCTTCATTTATCCTAGAATTTTGAATGTTCAGTACCAATTTTCTAGTTTTTCGTAAGGAGAAATGAATTAGCTAGTTATTTTATTCAAAAATTCCAATCCCTTTACATTAGTTACGAAAACATTGGTTTAATTAAATACAAAAAATTTAATTTTTCGAAACAACAACAAAGTGTACATATATTTACTTACCAACCTCTTTCTTCGGCATTATTGCCATCTTCAAAATTCTTTTCTATGTGGCTTCTAGCTTTTTGGCTGACCAGAGTTTCGATTGATGGTCTAGTAACTTAAAACTACGTTCATTAGAATCTAATATTCTTAGAAATAGAATAGGTTTAAATTTACGAACTAGAAGTTCGTAAAATGCTGAATTCAAAAATGAAATGAATCCTTAAACAAGTATAGAATACATCTTAATTTAGATATATTAATCAAAAATTTGTATACATTTACACACAGTTCTTGAGCACATAGTCAGCATATTCCTGGTAAACCAGATGTATGAGTGTTGTAAAAATATACTAATCCTCTTGTTTAGGTAAAGATTACGTACTACAATAGAAGCTTGTAACAGCTTAACTCTGGGTCTGTACCTACTCTTTGTGGGGTGACACAGATATTTGTGTAAGTTAGTATGAGTCGCGAGATTCTCTCCCTTGTATGTTTATATGGGATTATTGAAAGGATTGTGAGATACCACACAAGGACCTCTTTCTCTAGTTGTATGAATAAAGGTTTTATATAATTGCCTATTTTTATTTAGTTTTTGTTGGTTTTGAAATATTACTCTACATAACATTTCCAGAACCTACATTTTTTAGATGCTTGGATCTGTTGGACATCAGAGAACTCAAACTCCCATGTTCTTAACAGCATGACTCAGGAGTGACATGAAGTTTTATCTTTAAACCTGAAACATGGAATCATCATGGGTTTTCCTGGAAATGCAAACTCTTCTGGATTTAAAACATCACTACATATACAAAATAATGACAGTGGTAGGGGATCACACGAAGTTAGTTGCATGTAACACCATAAACATGATAAAAACCTCATTTTTTGAAAGGGTAGATTAATTAATTCAAAACCTCACTATAAAATAAGGTCCATAAGTGGTTCTGTAATGTATCAACTGTTTTTGAGCACAGTATAAATATTAGAAAAACAAAACATTTTGTCCAAGTTTAATTGATATTATTCATATTGACAAATGGATACAAATACAATATGAATAATACTTATTTGTCTGATGATAGTAATAATGACACGAGTCTGCAGGATCAAAATTTCTACATAATAAAAAAGATCAACAGCTGTGTGAACCAGAGAAGGTTACTGGAGGAGTGCATAGCAGATCAAATTCTCTCGAGATTAGCCCCTAGTCAATAAAATGCTGTTGATGAATACCCCCCCCCCTTAGTAAGAGTGCAAAATCTTGCTTGGAAGAGGGAGTCATGAGCCTAACAGACAATATTGCTGAGCTAAGAGACAATATAGTGGTGGTTCCACTCCCTAACTACATGGTAACAAAGATATAACAAGAAGTCAGAATGCAGAAGGAGAAATTACCCTGGAATCTAGTACAAAGATGTAACAACAGTGGGTGGAAAACCATTGGAAGAATCGATCTGATCAGCAACCTTCTAACAGAAGGTTGGATGACAAAGGAAGCTTTATTGATTCGTTTAAAGTTCGACACAGGAGTAGTGAGAACAAGTTTTAGACTACGTGGTCTACAACTATAAATGAACTGACAATGATGCAGATAAAAAGCTCAAACAAAGAGTATCACTAACATTCCAAAGAGATATATCATAATCCTGAAAAGACCGAGTATCAATGATAACATCTTCATATCTCTACAGATAAAGGTGGAGGAGTAGTCATCAAGAACAAGAGTGAATATATAGAGAAAATGGACACACTGTTGGCTGATGACTCTACATACACAAAGAAGAAATGTTTTGCAAAGAAGGGAGCTGGAATATTCAAGCAGAAAGCATGAAAGATTCTAGGGAAGACAGAGAATGGGAGGAGATTAATGCACCTCTTAAAAGACATGAGGGGGTTATTAAAGATACACAAACCAGGGATCTTCATGAAGCCCATAATATCAGGCATAGTCACTGTGCCACACAGGTTAGCCAATGTCCTGGCCAAACCACTAGTCCAGACCTTTAGCTCTATAAGCAACTCACATCTGAATAACTAAACAGACCTCATCAGAAGACTACAAGGAGAAAGATTCAAGAACAAGAATGGCGAGTTTGATGTAAAGCCGTTGTTCATGAAACTGTCCACAGAAGCTGCTATCAGGGCCGCGACCAGAGTGATACAAGAGATGAAAGAAATTTATTTCCCCTCCCAAAAGAAGATTACCCAGAACTCATGATTGTATGCCAGATTCGGCCAGTTTAAGTTCATGTAACAGAAATTCCACCAACATAACAGGCTGGCCATGGGCTCACCATTAAGTGCCATCTTGGCTTCCCTAGTAATGGAGACTTTGGAAGAGAAACATTACAAAAACATCATGGGCAAATACACGATGTGGTTGAGGTATGGGGACGATATTCTAGCCATAATACGAAGAAGACAAAACATGCAGGCAACATTAGTAAGAATGATTGGGATACTAGAAGACACACAGTTAACTATAGAGAAGCACAAGATGGGAAGATATCATTCCTCGACACTTTCATTTGGAGAAGTGGCAAGAGACTAAGGTTCTCCGTGTATAGAAAACAAACCAGCAGTGATGATTTCATACACTTCTCAGCACATAACAACAAAGTAAAGACAGGTGTGTCACTGGGCTTCTTCCTGAGGGCATTATATATATGCAGCCCAGAATTCTTAGGTCAAGAAAACGAACACAATGGAAGTATTCAGAAAGCAGCAATATTTCACAGGCATGCTTATAAAGCTGAAGGAGAAGGCAAAGAACATCATGGAAACGACCAACGACAGCTGACAGAATGAGAGAAACAAGAAGTTCATATTTGTCCCCAATGCCCAGGATGCAAGTACCATCAACAGACTAATGAGAAAACCACAGCGGAAGTAACAAAAACAGGAATAAGAATAGACGAGATGGTGAAGGGCAGGAGACAGAAACACACAACAGACAGCAGTGTAGTATACTGCATTCCATGTGGTGGATACCGTAAAGTTTATATAAGTGAAACTGGCAGAGGTCTGACACCAAGAGTAAATAAGCACAAAGCAGACTTCAGAAGGCACAATACACCCAATGCAATAGTAGCACATGCAGAGGAAACAGAACACCTGCTTAAATGGAAGGAAACTAAAATTGTCAGCAAGGGGATGGAAAAGCAACAAAGGAAAGCCATAGAAGCTCCTTACATCTTATTAGAAAAGAACATAAACACTACGTGGGAGACTGTAAGTGGGCAGAAACAGCAACTAGCCTAATGAAGTGAGAGCAAGATGCTCATTGGTCAGGTTGTGATAGACAGACAACGATAATGAACCAAACAAGCAGCAGTACAGTGCAGTGACCAAGAACCTAATCCGGGAAAATTTGCAAGGCACGAGCAGGGCGAGGAATATTGCTCGATCTTCGAGCACCCCCAATGATTTATTATTATAAAATAGTAAATTACATCGAAATAACTTCCAGAAACACACATGACTGCCAAACCACCACCTGTGCCAACTGTGGAGGACCACATGCTGCGTCCTCCAGAGGATGCCCAAAATTCAAACAAGTTGCTGAAATAAATAGAATGATAAGTGATCTTTCTCCCCAACAGGTAAAATACAACAGAACAGCACTCAAGGGAGAGTCCAATGGTAACCAAAGCCAAATCAGACAGCACCAACTACCAGGGTACCGACTGCAATTTTGAATGCAATTTGCATCTCATCACAAACCTAATCCTAGACTCGCAGCACACCTGCATCACCACCATTGGTCAAAATTTCATAAAGATTAACCACATTAATTATCGACATCATGCTGCTTTGTCACTCCACGGACCCCAACGATATCCCAGTGTTAGCAACGAAGATCAGCATCGCTGCATCGTACTACTTTGATATGGACACCTTCAATTCCATTCTGTTAACCCAACACATCAAGCAAAGGAAAACCCATATGCATCTACCCAGGTAAGCCACTCACAATAACTTATATTTATCATATTATAAAATGATGTTTTATGCATGTTAACATTCAGGTGTCTACAACATAAAAAAAAAAACTATTACAAATAGCCAACTCCATTAAAGCCAATATATTAAGTATCAATGAAACTCTCTTAAACAAACAAACAAACAAATTTTAAACTTCCCCACTATAATACAATTCAGAAACACTGCCCCAGGCAAAAGAGGCACAGCTCTTCTGATCAAAGAAAACCTAAATGTTCCATTTCCATACATCAGCACAACCTGTACAAATGGATCCATTTTATGCCATATACATTGTCCTAACAATAGCACTATAGCTATTTTAGCATTATACATCTTCCTCACGAACACTCCCGACACAAACTACATACAGACAGTCACCAATAACCCCCCTCAACCATCATAATCGGTAATCTACACTCCAAACACAGATGTTAACTGCCAAAACACCAATAGCCACGGCCGCATCATCAAACAACTCCTTCAACACAATGATTACAGTACCATTAACAACAACCAAATGACACACACACAAGCCCAAACAGCTCGCAAGACATTAGATACAGCCATAGTCTCAACTAACCTATTACAACAGTCACATAGCTCTCAAATACACGAAAATATAGATGGTAACCACGATCACTTGTCCTTTCACATATTCAGGCAACAAACAAACAAACACTTACTTACCCAAACCCAAAATTTTGACTATTTTCACACAGATTCTATGAAACTCAACAAAACCATCCTCAAACACCTCCCAACAATAAAGAAACATGCAAATAATCACACTGACATTGACAATTATGCTAAGCAAATTACGAATGCTATTAACACAGACACAAATGCAACCATACCCACCAAAACTCTAAATCGAGATTTAAATGCATGGCAACTCACTTCCGAAATACATGACCTGATTAAAGAAAGACGATATCTACACCATACCTTCATTACCACACGTAACCCCGAAATCAAAACACTAATTAATAGCAAAAATAATCTCATTAAAAAGCTTATCAAAATCCATCAGCCAAATAATTGGAACAATTTTTATCAATCAATAGACAATGCGCGCCCCAATCCAGCCCACTTTTGGAAAAGTATCTAACAAAT